AAAAAAAGAAAAAGAAAAAAATTCAAAAAAATTATTAAAAATGTCCACATCGACACCAGCTACATACTACTGGGGCCCATGTCAATAATTTCCAGCCTACATTGGTCGGATGGACTGAATTTGTACCAATGTGAAAAGGTTTAAGACTAAATTCGTCAAATTGAAAAGTTTATGACTGAATTGGTACTAATGCAATAGGTTTGGGAAATGTGTCAGAAAAATCCTAAACATATTGCATTAGGACCCATTTAGTCTTAAACCTTTTAATTATGTCAATTTGATCATAAACCTTGTGACTTAGTGCCAATTCAGTCATTCCGGCTAATTTTGGCCAGATATTACTAACGTAGTTGCCGGCTGGCTTACGTGGCACGACCGACACTAAAGCGACATTTTAATAATATTTTAATAAATTTAAAAAAAAATCTTTTTTTATTTTTTCTTTCTTTTCTTTCTCTTTTTTTCCCGAGGAGGGGAAAAAGAGAAAAAAAGAAAGGAAAAAAAGAAAGAAAAAAGAAAAAAAATTGAAATTATTAAATATTATTAAAAAATTGTTTACGTTAGCGTCGGCTGTGTCACGTAAGTTGGCCGGCTTCCACGTCAACAACCGGTCAAAATTAACCAGAAGGACTAAATTGGCACTAGGTCAAAAGATTTATGACTAAATTGGCATAAATGCAATAGATTTAGAACTTTTTTGACACTTTTCGTTAATAGCTAGGTTTATGACTATTTTGGTACTTTTCCCTAAAAAAAATCTCCATCCCCGACCATTCTCACATCCATGTCCTTGGCAATGTCATTACCACAAATCCGAAGGTGGTCGAGCACGTGCTCAAGACAAGATTCGACAATTACCCAAAAGGATCGCATGGTAAATTGCAAAAGCAGTCCGGAATCTCAAACGACCACGTGCTTCCAGATGAGAAAGCATTTTGTGCGTGCAATGTTGCCCTCAGTTTGGCAAGATTGGTGCAGCCTTGCAGGTGCAGTTCTTATGCTTTCCCTGTCTAAGAGTCATGACATGTTTCGACAGTATGATTCATACTTTTCCTAGAAAGCACTGTGATGACTATCGTTTGAGGACTTGTAAATAGATGAGGAGTGTGTCCTTAGAAGCTTCCAAAGGAATGCCAGTAATAGCAGCATAGCTGAGGATACAAAATAGCTAATGCGGAGGTCCTGCCCTATTGTATCATCAATCTTAGTACTGCACTCTTGAACCTTGAAATTCAATGTGCTGCAAGGACCAGCCAGCCATAATCTAAGTTAATTTAATACAGAGGCATGTGCTCGACTTCTGTCCCCGCTTCGCGAGTATGCATTTGTTTATGATGGATTATGGGTTTATGGATGTGTGGGCCGCCCATGTTGGGCTAACCCAACTCATGACCCATCATGGGAGCCCATCTCAAGTAACTGCTGCAGATCGTGTAACTGCCCTTAGCAGATAAAAAACGAAAGGGAAAAGATCGTAATAGTGAGAATAGGGTGATTTAAGAAAAAGATAAGAAAACGACGTTCTATTCTCTTCCCTGACATACGATCCAACGAGGAACTCTCGCGCCTGCAATAGACAGCATTTAATCTGTGGAAACAAGGTATGCTCATTATGTGATATACCTATTCGATTAGCATCTGTAGAGTTTTCTTGGGCATGTTTCTCGATTGTTCGAGTTTCGGCATTTAGGAACTATTTCTCAACTGTTCGAGTTTCGTTTTATTTAGGAATCCGCTTCCATCATTAGTATCAAAGCTGTGGTTTATATACTGTTAATTGGCTTGTTCATCAAACAAGGATCGGCCGAAAATTGTGAACCGTTCCGACGGCCGCTCAGGTATGGAAATCGACACCCAACCATACTATTCGGGGCCGCTTCTCGGAGTTTCGTCCATGAAAAATGATTTTTAACTACACGGGCTGGTAGTTCTCATTGAGACAAGAAAAACGAGGGGTGGCACATCGCTGGGGGAGGCCGCACGCTCCCCCATGCGCGGCCATAAGCGGTTGTCTCGTTGTTGGAGTGTGCGCGGCACGCACTTGCACGATGGTATAGGCCCGTGCACAGCACACGCCTACTGCCCCTCTCCGCGGAATTACGATTCTGCCCTCCATTTTTTTTATTTATTAAAAAAAAACGTAGGAGCTCCAGTTGGGGCATGGTTGATGTCGTTGTGTTTATATTGAAATTATCTAAATTGTGATATAATTTATTAATCTGATTGACCTTGGTGAGAGTAGATCCCGAGACTTTTGCATGTCAATGTCTTTGATGTTCCCAATATTTTGTTGTTCCATGCATTATGAGTAATCATTTTATTCTATATTCGTTACAGAAACAATGGTAACTATCATACGTTGTCCCAGAATACCAAGGACGTGGGAACAAAGAATGAATCTTCTAAGATTAATAGAAGAATTGGCCAATTATCGATGGGATGGTAATGTTAACATGTTAGAGCATGTTACCAAGGTCAATGAAATGATCCAAAATATAATTTGGGAAGGTTTTATTATGAGAGATCCTAACAGGGTCGTTGCCTTGAGAAAACCTTTTTGAAGTGTGGCAAGCCATTGTTGATGAACTATGGAAACCCAACCAATGTCCACAATATAAGATACTTGTGGAAGCTTTTCTGAAAAAGTATATAAAGATTGGGGCAACGAAGACATCAACACATTCGATGAATATGACCTGGCACATATCTGAGAGATTTGCAAAAGTCTTTCCTTGGTTACCAAACTCCACCGTTGATCTTCCTAAGGAATTTTATGAGTCTATCCCTGTTTTTATGAAGATTAAGAAATATTGATGTTATTTCTTTAGAATATGTTGTCATTAGTGAACTTTTCTATGTTAATATTTTATTTCTTTTTAGACTTATGCATTGTTTATGGAATATTTAGTTTTGAATATTCAATGGCGTTGTTTTTATATTGATATTGTCTTATTCATGTTATATATGAGTGGGAAGTTCTAGAAAGTTTTAATAACTTAAAAGAACTTAATTTTGCATAAATAATTATATTAATGATAATTTCAAATTAGGATTTTTAGATGATGATCGAAAACAAAGTAACCTTTCGAATATGAAACCTTATATGAAATTATTCATTAATGTAATTAGTTTGTGTAAAATAGATGCATAAATGTTAGAGATTAATAATTATGCATATATGTGTTCAGAACCAATGGCTTCAGCATTTAAGAATATCGTATCTGAGCTCAATAAAGGAGAGAAATTGAACGGCGAAAATTATGAAATCTGAAATATGAAAATTCAAGAAGAGCAAGAAGCACTAGAAGCTCTTAATCAAGTTATGGAAGAACCTGAAGATTGAAATACTGTATAACATAGAAGGGATAAAGATGCATTTGCTGCGTGGAAGAAAAAGAACTCAGTAGCTCGCATTACATGCTTTTTGCATGTAATATACAATTCACTGTGTAGGAGCTTTAGACTTCGAAGCTTTAGATGTCGATCTGAATCTGGTGATGAAGGAAGCTCCTGTGGCTGAAGTTTGTGAAGCATATAAAGTGACCTGAGGAATGGTTCAAGCTTTACAAGAAAATGTAATCGGTTTGCCTTAATGGTTTCTGTATTCTGTGAGAGGCTTGGATGGCATGATCTAGAGGTCTTGGTTGGCAAATTCCAAAATCTAGTGTCCTTTGGAGCGAGAGCAGATTGTAGAGCTTACGAATATCCCATGAAAGTGTATATAGGGAAAGACCCATGAAAGTGTCGGGCACTAGCGTCACGGTGGTGACCCGGAATTGTGCCGATGGAGGCGGAAAAAACCATGCTGTTGAGGAAGCTTCGAACCGTGATCATGTTTCCGCTCTGGAAATGTTCCAAGTGCATCCCAGTGGTGATCAAGATGTTGCGAATAGCTTACACCGTCAAGAAGGAAAGCTAAAAAACTGTGATAGAGAGAGCGTAAGAGTAAAAACCTTCCTTCTCGACATCCTTGACAAGTTAAAAACATCTTCCATTGGGATTCACTTGGACGATTTCCAGAGTAGAAACATGATCCTGAACGGCTTGAAGCTTCCTCAACAGTATGGTTTTTTCTGCCTCCGTCGACACAATCTGGCCCACCATTACGACACTAGCGCCCGACACTTTCATGGTTCAATTCTCTTTATGCATTCTCCGCCTTGCCAACTTTGCGTGCCTTATGATTGAATTCCCGAGATCCACTGAGGTCACCGGACTCATCGTAACGGGATTTTATGCATTCTCTTTATGGTTCAATTCACTTTCGGTTTCCGGTCATCTGAATGTCAGGAAGTCCGAAAATATTTTCTCGAAAATGATTTTTTATCAAACAAACGGACCTCTTATTAATTTCCAAATGGATAAACTCTTATTAATTTCCGGTCATCTGAATGTCAGGAAGTCCGAAAATATTTTCTCGAAAATGATTTTTTATCAAACAAACGGACCTCTTATTAATTTCCAAATGGATAAACTCTCATCCAAAGAGATCAACTGAAGGTCGCCATCCTTCAAGGTCTTAACAAAAAACTGATTGAAGGTTCATGACCATATATCATTGTTGCATAGGATCTCCCACTTAGTGTATTTCAATGTAATCTCTGTCTTATATCAATTTGCAACCTAAGATGGGATTACTATACTTCTCAAAGAAGAAAAAGGAAATCCAAAGACTTACAAGCCCCCGTCAACTATTTGAAATCCAATTTTTGACCCAAAGAAACAAGGGCAAAATCGAGAATAGCACAAGAGATGACATTAGGCCGGGGCACTCACTCGAAGTCCCATAATGCAATGAGGCCTGAATCGTACACACGGAACTTGCAAGATAAATATGGTTTCGATATGGGTTGGAACTGTTCTAATCCAATAGGTTAGTTTTGGGTCCAATCCAAACTATGTAAACCCCTACAAACTAGCATATCCGCATCCACATATTAGGCGTCTTTGACATGATGGTCAGCTGAGGTAAAGTTATCACTAGTTATATGCATGTAAGAGGCAGCCAAGAGAAAGTTCCCCATGTTTTATTAGAGGCTTTCATCGGGAAATCATAAGTTATTTCACACTGGGTAATCCTAATCAATGAAAAACATGACAAAAAGAAGTCCAAGAAGTCTCAGGACCGCCACGACAGATACAGTCGTCGCCTCACAAACTCTACAGAAGGCGATGCACTCCTATGCAGGGCCAGCAGCCCCTAAGGCCCAATAGGGTAGGAGCAGTTATGTCAGCTCATATGCACAAACACATCTGTATAGCGCAAGAGGCCATAAAAGAATCACTTGTATAGCCTATCCATTGTATGCTTCAAGCGTTCAATATCAGCTCCCACAATTTCATCTACCTTCTGCCCCTTGCTGAAGAAATGAAGTCTCGGCTGCAGCAAAATGTAAAATCAGTTTCTCATACAAAAAAGAACCACACAGATGAGACTTAAATGAAGCCAAAGAAGAAAATTACCTCCCACACAGTTCTCACTGGCATTTCTCAAAAAAAAAAATCCATCAGAATGCATATTTTAGGATATAAAATGTCAGAAAACGATGATGATGCTTCCAAAGTTTTCATTATGCCTAACTCAGCACTTCTCACTCTACTTGATGGGTGTCAATGAGGCTAGATCAATTTCTGCGCAAACCCAAACTGACCCGATTTCTTTTTAGTTTTGGAATTCTCTTTTGTGACCCTAACTGCACCACATCAGCCCAAAGCCGACACATCACAGAGTTGAAACAAATTCGAAGAATCTACATACAATTGAGAATTTGAAGCAGCAACAATTCAGTTCAACTCCAAGTCCGACCATTTCTGTTTCTTATGGCAGGAAACAACCTATGGCAAGAACAAATAAAAGCCAAAAGAAAAAGAACTTCCACCTGAACTAGATAAAACCTGAACATTTCCTGTTGGACTCCAGTTAATTAAACTAGGTCTTCAATTCCTTTGGGTTTTTTGTGCAACTTTAGGGTGTCATGCACTTCCAGGAACACTGTTCATGTCTGTTTTTTCTATATCTTGGATTTTGTATCTAGCCCCATTTGTACCCCCAAGCACCAAAACAAAAATCAAATGAAAAACTAAAAAAATGGCACAGCTGTAGTGAAGTTGCAATAGCTCCAATTAAAGAAAATAATAAAACAGTTCTTCCTCATGGCCAAGGAAAGAATGACCAACTCCATAGTGCTTTAGTAAAGATACATTCCGGGAAATGATAAAGTCAATCAGGTCTGATAAGTGTGTTCAAATGCTGTGCAGTTGAAAAGCACTAGATGTGGACAGTATGGATTGAAGCAACAACTGGTGTGGGCTCATGAAATCATACTGGAGCAAAGGATTTGGTGCTTTGATGTATGGGAAGTTTGATAACGGAAACGAGCTGTTATCTCGGTACCAAGATAGAAATTCTATCAGAAGGAACCACCATCCATGACCACAGTATGCAAGACAGTTTAGATGACATAAGAGAATTTTCTTGTATAGATAAGGAGGAGGCTGCAAGACACAAAATTCTTCCCAAGACGAGCTTGAGTTTTGAGAAAGTCCCTCCATTTGCAGAACCAATTAGACACGCAATCTTCAGATTATCTTTGTTAGTGAAATTAAAAAAACTGTGTACATTGCTTGAAAATAGCATCCAATAACATGCATGACATTGTCTTACCACAGAGTCGATCCTCAGCTCCATCAATTTGTCTTGAATGCCCTCCTGCAGACAAATTAACAATATTAGCTTCCAAGAGTAGAAAGCATTCCTATCATAGAAGAGAAAGCCGTGAATATCACCATAGAGAACTTCCACTAAGATTAAGAGTGGTCTAGAGGGACAATGTGGAAACCAGAGAAGAAGCAAAAGGCATTACCTGATCAATGTCAATTTTATACGTAGTCACATGAGGGTACTTCTCATTCAATGCTTCAATGGCAGGGGACATGAATCTGCCTGCAAGACACAGATTAATGTTAAGGCTAAAGTAACCTTTTCTCTTCAAGTAGCAGAGGATAATCAAGAGGAAGAAGTGCCAGTTAATGGAGGACGTTGCCAAATTCCTAGATGGTTGAGATTACTTACAAGGACCACACCATGCCGCAGTGAAGTACAAAATTGCTGGTGCAGACTCATCTATCAAAACCAATCAGACAAAAGCATAAGATATTTCGTATTTTGGGGACCTTCGAAGTGGTAAGAATTGCATTCCCATCTCTTCCGTGTCTAACATGTCTATCCATAAAGCAATAAGGAGTCGATACAAGAAGAAGAACAAACCTCGGATCTTGGCAAGCACACCATCGAATTGTTCTTCTGACTTGACAAGGTGCATGCTTGACGAACCCGAGATTGCAAGATTGGCCTTAGTGGACTGCCAAATTTGAGCCATTCAGAATATGCAGTTCATCCAAGAGGCAGGAACTATCCACTACACATCCCTTGGTGAGCTAAAACGAGCTTTACATTTTCAAAGAAGGAAAATAAGCCACCAACAGAAATGCTACGAATTGTCAGGCTTTTCAAAAAAGTACGAGCAAGACTATCTATGATGGCAATTGGCGAGTATGAATTTCACGCATTGACCCCGATTCCAACTATCACCCTTCCTCATGTTGTAACTCCCTTCCCCAAAAGCGGGAGAAATGTAGACAAGAGACCACAGTTGGTAAATGCACATCGTGTAGTGTGGATAGGAAGTTTGGTTTGTGGAAAGCAGGAAGAGCCCTGAACTCCAGCTGGTCGAGTCGCAACCAAAAGGTCAATCTTTCTTCTTCAAGCGCGAGCATACGAATTCCTAAATACAAATGGTGCCCACACACGAACAGGAAATAGCCGATGCAAGACTCGGGCACACGTCAATAAAAGAAGACTGAGAAAGCAATCAAAAGGGAAGGAAGAGAGGGAAATGCAGCGAAATGGGTACTGATGAATTGGGACAGAGAAGACAGGAAGCGTACCTGAAGGAGACGAAGCTGAGGAGAAGGTCCGGGGAAGAGAGATAGCGGCGAAGGCAGAGGCGACCATGGAAGGGACGGCTCTTTGTGCGTCATCGGCATAACTTGGGAGAGGAAGGAGGAACTGGGGTTGCCGGCGGAGGCCCACGATTCCGCCGCCGCCGCTCGAGGTCCACGACCGCCGCAACAGCGCCGCACACCTCCTCATTCTAGCGATGTATGAGAGAGAGAGAGAGAGAGAGAGAGAGAGAGCGCGAGAAGGTGTGCAGGAAAACCAGAAGGAAAGCAAAGCTGATGGAAATGATTTGGGCCAGAAGTTGGGTACGATATGTCTTGTTGGGCCTGGGCCCATTTGGACATCGGTTGGCCCAGCTCAATTTTTGTGTGGCTGCATTGTAGGTGCACATCCACACGATTTGGATTGGGATTGTGTAAATTGTATCAGTTTCGGGGCCTGGAATTGCCAAATTTTCACGTTCTGGGAATCTGGGATTGATTAGCTGCTTGGAACACTGCTGGTTTTGTACCTCTCCTTCCCCCAAAAGTAGACCTCATCAAGGGCCTAGCAGCTAACGGGCCCACCCACCAAATCGGCGGGCTTGGCCGAGGAAATAGGCCCGTTTCGGTGAGCCTGGCCAAGCCGCGCCTTCCTCCGTCGTTCCAAGCGGTCAAAGCCGTGTGTCTTCACTGCAATGGCTATCCCAAACCTGCTCGGCACTCTTCGTCATCTTATGCCTCTCTCTCTCCCTCGTTGATCCACTCAATTGACAACTTGATTTTGCTCGGCAACCCATGACCCTTGCTCTTTTTCCCCTTCTCGACACTCCTTGTCATTTTATGGATTAATTATGTTTTTCAAATCATATCGAGAGAATTTTAGCCCATGTAATTGCGTGGGCGTAGGCCTCATGGTTGTTTGTGGGCTGACTGGGCTCCAAAAACAGGCACGCCCGCCCGAGCGTTGGTAGGATTGGACAGGACTGATACAGCCCAAGCCCACGTTGGGCTGGGCCCAGCCAAAGCGTGTGTTAGGCCCGCTCAATAATCAGGTCTACCCCATGGTTTTGTCTGATTGGTTTTGATAACCATTCTATTTTTTCGTTTTTCTATTTTTCTATTTCTGGAATAGATTTGAAACAAAAATCCGTTTGGTAACGTAATTTCATTTTTCTATTCCTAGAACAAATTTTGATCTCAGAAATAGATTTAGAACAGAAATGAGAAGTAAAAATTTTCTACTTTTTTATTTCTGGAACAAAAATGAGAAATAAAAATTATTTTCATCACTCGTCGTCGCCCACCCGTCGCCCGCCTCCCGCCGCTGCCTACCACCTGCCGCCGTCCGCCGCTGCTTGCCGCCTCCCACCGTCACCCACTTCCCGCCGCTGCCCAATGCCGGCCGCCTCCTGCTGCCGTCCTTCGCACTAGCTGCGCCGCCGCCGACAGCCTGGAAGGGAAAAATTTTGTGCTGTTATCAAATAAATTTTTATTTCAAAAAAAGAAATTTTGTGTTGTTATCAAATGTGTATTTTTGCTTAAAAACTCATCCATGGAACAATTTTAGCCAAAAATTAATTTCTAAAATAGAATGATTGTCATTCGCGCCCTAAGTCTTTCAGTTCACCTAATCTGTGCGTGGAAACTAAAGGATAAACAGACTTTGTTGAGTGCTTATTAGGCCGAGCTCAGAGCTCGTGGACCGTGAATGTTATTTTTGAAGAATGTAAGGCCTTGTTGGACCAGCTAAATAGAGTGTGTCTGTCTCTTTTGTGCCCCATGAAGCCAATAAAGTAGCGGATTAGACTGCTAAAGCCCATCGGGAAAACCATCTTACTAGTAGTTGGCTGTTTAAGCCCTCACACCCACTATGGATTTTGTTATATACCAACTTCGGACTCAGTTGCGTTTCAGCAACGTGTTAGTAATGAATGTTTTTCTTTTCGATAAAAAAAAAATTGGCGTGATTTGAGGTTGGTGTGACGGGATGGAGACGTAAGAAAAGGAATTTCCCTTTTTTGTTCCTAAAGACCCAAGGAAAATGAGCCATTGAGATGTTGCAAGGAAGTTTCCCAAGTGACTTTAATGTTGGCAATATCCGTGTTTCTAGCAACAATGGACTTTCCTTCTAAATCCTGTATTTGCGGTCAAGGTCCAATTCGAACTCCATCGTGGAAATAACAGAACCAACTCCAGTTCGAAAAGGCAATTGTCGTGTTTCGAGCAAACTTGGACCCAATACAAAGTTCAAGTAGGGACATTCAAATCTTGATTGCTACTCTGACATGAACGTAGTTTAATTCGGGTCAGGTCGGGTTAACAAGCTAAATTCCGAATCATGTTCTAACATATAAGCTTTGAGATTAAAAGCAAGTGAACTATTACAGCAGCCATCCGATCTTATCGTAATGGAAAACTCAATTGCCAATTACATTAAAGAGGAACAAATTATGAAGAACCCTCTAAGGCCTAACCAGTTTATGGACATCGATTTACTCTTCTAGACTGTAATAGGGATATGTGTAGAAATAGGGCTTAAAGATTGGGCAGATGGTCGATTGAGGATTTAAGATTTTGTTTTGGCCACTTGAAGACTTCATGAAATTTAGTGAAAAACAAAAAAACTCTAATTAGATGTGGAGTTCGCTGTCAGTTGAATTCAAGCATTGGAATTCTTATACTCCGCACGGTTTAAGTAGTTCCCATCATTGAGTACCAGGGCGGTGTAGTTGTGATTTATCAAGACAGCCTCAGCTGTTACTCCCCCCAACTTCTTGTAACTGGGAAGAAATGACACCCAACAACATTAAATAAAAAAAAGAAAGAAAAAGATTGTCGGACCGCAAATTATTGGCATAGGATTGATTGCACATCTTCGATTAATTTTAAATTATCTTCATGACTTGGCCGACTCATGGCGAAACTTGGCATGTAAGTTCTCTGACGGAGAAAGACCCTCCAATCGGATGAGTTGTTCCTGCGGCAAAAGTCATAAGCATTGACCCATCGAATTAAATTCTCGTTGACTGTAGCACTATTTATGATTTTGCAAGTTGGGTACTCGCACTTCCATCGACCAGCAACGAGCAAAGCCCCTCTTCTCCTACATTTCCCTGGCCAAAACAACGGACCCTCGGCTTCAACAAGCGATAGAACATGATGATGTTGATGAGCTCCACAGGTTCATTGTGGAGGAGCCAAAACTCTTAGATCGTGCATGTAAGGGCCCTTTCCCAAATACTCCTCTACACATTGCCGCGGCCGCTGGAAAAACTCAAGTGGCCATGGAAATGGCCATCTTGAAGCCATCCTTCGCTCGGAAGCTGAATCCAGAAGGTTACAGCCCCATGCACTTGGCTTTGCAACACGAGCATTATTCCACCGTGAGGGCACTGATGACCCTCGACCCCAAGTTGATCCGAGTCCGAGGACGATACGGGATCACCCCTTTGCATTATGTGGCCGGAAAAGAAGGAGACATGGAGGTGGAGCTCTTGGCTGAATTCCTAGCCACTTGCAACTCGTCCATCAATGACTTGACGAGTCGATGCGAAACTGTGGTTCATGTTGCCGTCAAGACCCACAACCTTCAAGCATTCAAGGTTTTGCTTGGATGGCTTACACGAGTCTATCGGACAAATATCTTGGGATGGAAAGATCAAGATGGTAACACCGTCTTACATATTGCTGCGTCCGAAGAGCAGCTCGAGGTATAGTTCATTCATGCCGGTTCAATTCACTGATTTCGTGACTGTTTGTGCTTTCATTGTTCGATTATTGAATTCAACATAATTTAATCAGGGCATGGATCTATCAAATAGGTGGGTCGGATTGGGTTTGGGTAGATTCGACCTAAATTGACCAACTTAACACAATTGGACACATTTAATATAAAACTATTTTGGCGATCCATACCCAATCTAGACCCAACACATTTAACAGTTTAAAGGGAAAATATCAGGAGAAGAGGAAGCTAAGTCAAAACAAAAAACAAAAAAAATTTGGTCAGTTGAGTCAAAGTAAATATGGCAGAGGATCTAATTAATAAAAAAGCGACATGAAAAAGAATCCAAACTATCTTAAGCTCGTGCTGCTTCTAATTTGAGTTCATTTCAACTGGTCAAACAATGCTTTGGTTGGAGGATATAGGGATTTGTGGGACTACTGCCAACTGTTCTAAAAGCTTAAGCTGTTAGATGAAGGCGTAGTTTAATATTTAATTACTCTAACACTCCCTCTCACGCTTAGTCTGGTCTTTTTGACTAGTACTAAGTGTGGATATATTTAATTGGGAGGCAAATGGGGCCCGTAAAGATTTGAACTCGGGATCTCCTGGCTTTGATATCATGTGTGGTTTTGTGGAATTACTGCCAACTGTTCTAAAAGCTTAAGCTGTTAGATGAAGGCGTAGTTTAATATTTAATTACTCTAACAGAGATAACCTTTTTTGCAGTTTATTTAGTGGAGAGAAAAGGTATGATTAAGATTGTTTCTCTTCGAATCCTTATAAAACTCAATTTTAGTGAGCTCTAAATCTCTCTGGGTTGGATGGTTTTGGATAAATAATTTCCTTCCAACTCTTTCCATCATAATCTCTCCTATCTAACACAGCAATAACTTAATTCATTCTATTCTATTCTTTTGTTTTTCCTATTGATTAGGAAATTCTCTTTCCTTCTTTTAAAACTAGTCCATCCGAACATAGCCAGCACAAACATAAAATAATCACTTTGTGGAAGGAAAAATTACTTCTCGATCAGTTGATTCTTACACATAAAATAAGATAGTCTTTCTCTTCAAAGCCAAAAAAACTTATATATAAAATGTAATTGAATCCTAAATTTTTTTAGTTGACATGATTAATTTGTAAACTTTTATGAAAAATCATACTAATTCGGGTGATCCATTATGTGAATTTGCCTATGTTACAACTCACATGGGCAATACCTAGCTATCACATAAATAAATTCGGGTGAAAGGATTAAAGCGCACTATTGAAAAGGTTTAGTACTTCACTCCATTGGTTGAAATGATGGTAATTGATAAATAAGGTTTTTTTTTTTTTACATTCGTCATTGCATCACTAGCATTATTCAAGCCTATAGGGCATGAGCTCACTTTGTGGACAAAATTGAAGGAATACGTACTTATTTTTGTTTTCTTTGCATTTCTTCCAGATCTTCAAGCTGTTGATGGGGTGTACGGATGTGAATGCGAAGAACTTCCAGGATAAGACGGCTCTGGAAATCTTCCAAGATCCTAGTGGCGACCAAGATCT